CTACTCCTTTATTCTCTCTTTCTTTTTCCTTTTCCTTTTCTCTTTTGGAGGCGCGCCTGCCTGTTTTCTGGAGCTGTTATATAAGTTCACGGTTCTTGGTTGATTGCATTGATATGGAACAATGCATTTTGTCTTAATTTTTGTGGCTGTTCTCTTTTCCCTTTTGTTTGCTTCATTCTACTGGCTAAGACGATTTTGTAGGAGGCTGCTGTCCTACATGACGTTTGAGTTTGCTATTTACTTTGATTTCTAGCTATGTTGCTCGGTCCCTCCAAAAGTGTTGCTGCACTCGTGTCAGATCAAAAAACATGATAGTTGGAGGATTTGGCACACACCTGACAATACTTTTGAAGAACTCGAGCAACATATAATAGACCTTCCACTACAATTGATTCGAAGGAGTTTCAACCATTCTGCTTCCATCGTCGTATAGCCGTGTGGGCAATTTGAATATCGGAACATCCTTACACCTCTTATTCAATCTGATCTATTGGTTCTAATACCAACTCAATGGGAGGAATTCCACGACTAATTGCACGGGGTTATTGCTACCTTTCATTAACACAGATACTAGGTAACTCTATCCACTAACGCTTAGACATACTTGAAGAAATCATCAAGTGTTTACGTTTTTCTCTGAAATTTGAACTCAAGGCTTCATGGAATAGTTGTAATGCACATGTATGGTTCTAAGTTTGATGAAATAGAATGGTTTTCACTTTTCAAATTTGAGAGTATCAATCAAATTAACTTAATTAGGAAGGTAAATGCTCTTAATAATAAAGAAGAAGAAAGTAACTTACTTACAACATCAACAAGAAGGTACAAAAATCGCTTGTGTTTTATTTATCGATCTCCAGAAAATGAACGTTCGTAATGGCCCATAAAATCGATCTCCCCATCGAGTGAAGAAATTCGAATTTCATTTACCTTCCTGACACACTAAAAGGTGGAATACTTTGTTGAAACCTAAAAAAATTACTAGGATCCACTTTACTTTTCACCTTTGCTAACCTCTCAAAATTAGCATCAAAATATTTTTCACCCCAAACTCTAGAATTTGAATATCTATATTCACCATCATTTTTCCCAAAATCAAGATCCCTATAATTGAGATAACCGTTTCTTGGGAAATGTGACACAAATGGCTTCATTTTCTCATAAAGTTCCCTTAGCCATTTAATCTTCTTGTTAGATATATTTTCACTATTATCATACCAATTCACCATGTATTGAATGTTGAACAAATTTCCCTTTCTATATGGAAATGGAATTTCGAATTTCGAAATTTCATCCATTCTTCCACCTAATGGATCCAATATCATCATAGGCCTTTCTTCATCGCGAAACATAGTTCTAATCATCCCCCATACCTCTTTTGGCAATGGACTCTTCACAAAATCGGACGTTGCCTTATAGTAATTCTTTCTTTTTGGCATGGTCTTGTTCACCATAAATTCAATCGAATCGTTTGTTCTCTTGGATGCAAAATACAACGTTGTACGAATCCAGGGGACTTCAAAGCATTCTTTCTTTATACATGGCAATCCTATCGCGCAATTCACTACTGGTTCTTGAAAATAATCATTTGTAACTAACTCGAATTCGGGGAAAGTTTGGTTCAACATTGGGAGTAACTCACTCACTCTACCAAGAAACAAACCTTGAAATGACACTTGTACTATTTTTTTACTTCCAATTCCCATATTTTGAATCAAAACGCTCATGAACAAATCCCGAGACAATTTATGTGACACATTTTGCCATCTCTGGAGTAAATTTATAGTCTCTCCATGTAATTTTCGACGTACTGTGAAAACAGTAAGCTTTGATGGTACGTGTACTAGTTTAACTTTCCAAGCTAAAATAACACAAAAACTTGATCCTCCACCTCCTCTTATAGCCCAAAACAAGTCTTTTCCCATCGATTCTCTATCAAGAATTTCTCCATTTACGTTCATTACACGTGCATCGAGGACATTATCAGCCGCTAGGCCGAATTTCCTCATCAAAGTACCAATTCCACCACCACTTATTATCCCACCACTCCCAACACTAGGGTACAATCCCCCTGGAAATGCAAGATTTTCGCCTTTTTTCGCGATTTCATAGTAAAGTTTCCCCATTGTCACTCCTGTTTGAATCCAGGCTGTTTCGTCATTTTTGTCAATATAAATGTCATCTAACTTGAATAAATCCACGATAACGAATCGTTCCCCTTTTTCAGAGCGAAAAGATAAGCCTTCATAGTCATGACCACCGCTTTTCACTCTAATTTGTATGCCAATTTTTTTGCTACAAAATATAATAGCCCCGATATCGAATTCGTTTATCGGGGTTATTATAAAAATTGGATGTGAAGATGAAGAATTTAGCCACCTTGGATTTTTCTGACCATATTCTAAAAGATATGAATATGTTGGTGATTTTGGAAAATGTATATGTTTTTCGATATTTTTGTCTGAAGTATGGCTATAAATGCAATTAAGAAACTCTTGTTGAGCATTAGTTTTAATAAAATTCAAGAATGAAACTAACAAAAATGGGAGAAATTGAAAATATCTTCCCATTTTTCGAAAATGAAAGAAGCTATAGGCAAGTGGCTTTTTATATGGTGAGTCCAGGGGCGGACATAGAGTCTGCCGAGGGGTTCAACCAAACCCCCCTCGGCAAAAAATTACGTTGTATATTTAAGGTATTTTAAAGAATTTTTATGTTTATATATTGATTTTGAACTTTCTGAATATAAGATTAGAGGTTGACTTAGTGGTTGAGGGGTTCAAACCTCAAATCTTAAGCACTGCTCTTTTTTTTCGAAACCCCTTAATGAAAATTCTGGATCCGCCACTGATGGTGACCAAACTCTAGTGAGATTAAAGACTATAAATTAATTAATCAAATCTCAAATATCACTTGTTAACATCTCGAAGTTGACTAGAATAATCATCAGTTAATATATAAATAGTGGCAGACAGACAATTCATGAAAAAATGATATAAAATTGATAATTGATATATAGTTAAGATGAAATAGTCGCAAAAAAGTGATAGTTGAGATATTATTTTTTAAAACTATTATTTCAAAAAAGAATCTAGCAAACGTTACAGTGAGACATAAAAATCTGGTCATCAGCATGGAATTTTTGACTTTGAAAAGTAAAGTACTATTTTTGTCAGTATTATTGGAAAAAAACAAGAGCTTGTTTAGTCAAATAATTTTTTTTTTAGGATGAGGATAATAATATTTATTGATGGAAAAAGATAAATATATTCGAACTATCGTAAATAATATGTAGATATTCTCTGTCATACTTTTGGAATATTGGTGCCCATGTCGTCCAAAATCTAGAGCATATATACCCTTTATACTAATGGATATACATGTGTCATAATCTGATCCACCGATCGACATTTTTTAGATATTGGATCAATGGATAAGATTGCGTCATGTGTCCCTATTTAGTCTTCCGTTAAAGTGAAGGACATATATGCTCTAGTTATTGAATGACAGAGGACTGATGATATTTGCATACCATTTACGATAGTTCAGAGGTATATTTGTCCTTTTTTCCTTTATTGATTATTGAGCTGGCAAGGACCATTTGGATTTTGGCTGTAAGCTAAAAAAAATGACTTTTATTTATTGTATGTATTAGACTATTAGCTCTCTCTATATGGAATATAGCACCTAAAATATCCTTTTGGTGTTACTTCTTTGGCCATGTTAGCTTTAATTTAAGTGGTTCATATTCAAGTGCGAAGTCAGAATTTTTATTAAAAATATTATAATTTAATAAGATTAATAATCATATATTTTGTAAAATTTCACTAAGTGGGGTTTGAGGAGAGTAGAGTGCAAGCAAATCTATATCACTACCTCATGGAGGTAGATAGACTATTTCTGAAAGATTCTCGATTCAAGTGCACCAAATCCAAATAAAAGAAGAAAATAGTGAAGACTGCATAACAATTAATAAGAAAAAATAATGTGAAGTCTACAAGAAAGAAACAATAATAACAAAAACAACAAAATAGTGCGGTAATCGAAATACAATAAACAACACATGACAAGAACTACAAGGGTACAAGTACAACTAATACTACAACATACACTAATAAGCCTATACCACGCCATTAAGTCGGAATTTTTATTAAAAATATTATAATTTAATAAGATTAATAATAATATATTTTATAAAATTTCACTAAGTAGGGTTTGAGGAGAGTAGAGTGTATGCAGACCTATATCACTACCTCGTGGAGGTGGAGAGACTATTTCTGAAAGACTCTCGATTCAAGTGCATCAAATCCAAGTAAAAGAAAAAAATAGTGACGAAAGCATAACAATTAATAAGAAAAATAGTGTGAAGTCTACAAGAAAGAAATAATAACAACAACAACAAAAGAATGCGATAATCGAAATACAATATGACAAGAACTACAAGGGTACAAGTACAACTAGTACTACGACAGACACTAATAAGTCTATACCTTCGCAAGCCAAGACAACACTCCACCCCTACTAACCTTCTATCCTAATACGTGACCACCACTCTTTCCTATCTAAAGTAATATCTTCGATAATATGAAGTAACATCATGTCCTATCTAATCACCTCTCCCCAATACCTTTTTAGCCTATGGGTAGAGACTAGAGCCCTACAACCACAAACATAATATAATTACTAGTAATTAAATATTTTTCAAGTTATTATATCTTGAGACTTTCTAGAAATAGTTGCTTATTGTAGGTCGATTTAACTTGCCAAGGTAAAAAAAAACAAAACATAATAACGGCATAAAGTCTTTTTTTAATTGAATAAACCACTCTTACATGACGAAGAAAACAAGAAAATGAAGAACTACATGTGTTACATACATATCCCAATTATAAATAACATTTTTATATATTCACAGGACGATAAATAAAACAAGAAAAAAATGTTATAAGTGCTTAGATACGATAGATGGATGTGACTCAATGACTAAAGACAGACTATAGTCAAATTAAGTTGAGATAATTTGCAGTCACAGGTTCGAACACGTGGGATGGAGAAGCCTCAATAAGTTCCATTTGCCATTTCACGAGATGCATATACACAATCCAATCTCCATTTCCTTTAGGGCTTGGCATTGGCATCACATATCCAGCTTTTCCGGCCCACGGAAAATGGTATGACCAGAAGGCTGGTTGATCCCATTTGAAATTAATCTTTTTCGTAGGAAAATGTTGCCCCGATGACACTACCACCGCGGGTCCATCACCATTCATGGCATATATTTTTGCGATAGATGGTTCATAACGATGCGCCTCAACCCAATCTATCAATCCAAGAAAATGCTCTTGTGTTTTCGCGATATCAAGAAATTCATGGACTACATTTGCCACCCAATGTAACGACTTCTCTTTTAGCTCCTCAACTTTTTTCTCTCCAAATGGGATGGAGAGAACATTACCAAAATACCCTTTTAGTGATTTATCTTGATTATTAACATCTACATTATTACTTATCAATCTAGTCCGACCATCAACCACAATACCAAACCTAAAATTGTTGAAACCCGACGTTTCTTTATTAATTCCACATGCAATAGTTTTCCACAGGAAAGCGCTGAATGATTCAAGTTTAGACCTCTGGGAGTACTTCGTGCCTTTTTTGTCATGACAATTGGCTAATGATTGAAGGTGCTCAATTTTGTCACCCGTGACATAGTAAATTCTACTAATGACTTGATCGTTAGGGTTAAGGATTTCGGATTTCATGCGAGGTAGGATTGATACTGGTACGTATAATTCATCGATCGAGTCATCATAGTAACCAGGATGTCGAGGAAAAAGGGACGATCGTCGAAATGATGGGAACTGAGAGAGTGGCTTGCATTGAGCTAATTCAGACCATGACACAAGAAACAAGTTGGCTGAGTATGCATCAGCAACTCTATGATCAAATGTGCAACCCACAATTATTCCTCCACATTTGAGTTGTGTAACCTGCACCAAAAAATTGAATTATAAATTATTCAATAAACAAAACAAGAGTACAAAGTTAGGTTATGAGGGTTATCAACTTTTATTGCTTAAAAAAGTTAGTACTACCTTAATCTCAATTTACGTGCCATACGTTTCTTTTTAATTTGTTTTAAGGATATATTTTTTTATATATTCAATATCACAAATTTTAACAACTTCATTTTGTTTTCTAAACATTTTTGTTGGAAACATATTTAGTTAAGTAAATAAAAATATGTTCCATCTACTCTTTTTGTTCACTTTTATAAATCCATTATTCAAAAAAAAAAAGATTTTCACTTTTATTTGTCACTTAATTTTAACATATAAAAAAAATACATTTTTTTCCTATTTTACTCTCAACGATTATTACTTAATGTTGTCCAAATCATTTTGCAAGATCGAAGATTAAACACTAACTACTATGGTTTAATGTCGATTATTATTTAATTTCTTAAGGTATGCAAAGTTCAAGCTGAACAAGTAAAAGTGAACCCAAGGAGTAACAACTTAGCTTATGTTTTTCGATGATAAAGATAGTTACACACTTTACAGTTTTAAAGTAGATAAAGGTACTCTGTGACTTTATTCTTATCCTTGTTCGTTAGAAAAGAATAAAAGTTTTTGTGTGTTTGACTCTTGAAAAGAATCAGACTCCCTATTTATGAAATGGTAGGTTCATGATTTAGAGTTTATAAATATAAGATTTACTTTTAAGTTACTAGATTCTAACTTAATAATTTATACATATTAAATAAATTTCTCAAGACAAATACAAAATTTATGTCAAAGTGATCACTTAGTTTTGTCAAATCCATAACCCGAATTGTACATCCACCCTTAGGCATGTCACCTAGATAGAGTTAAGGTCTACACCTGTATTACATCTTACCATTCCCAGACGCCACTTTTAAACTGATTACTGGACATGTTATCGTTGTTATGTTTGGGACATTCACTAGGTCACATGCATGAAAAAAAGGAGAAACACCACCGTTAATGCAAAGAAGCTCTGGTTCTCCGGCTGAATTTTCAACTATTTCTCGAGAAAATGCATAGTAAGAAACTAATGTTTCAGCCAAAGATGTTTTGAGTATTTTTACGATTGAGTTAAATTCTAAATTCATATTAATTTTCTCCGAAATAATAATGGGATTTAGATAGCAGAACATTACTCCGACCTCCAATGGAGGTAAGAGTAAATCAAGATTAGATAATGGTAGCCAATGTTCTTGCATTGGCAACACTGCTGCCACTACTTCACTCTTGTTCACTTTCACATTGAAGTCTTTTTTGCACATATTTTGTTGTTTGGAGTTGTGTGTGTGTGTGTATGGGAGGGGGGGGGGGTAGTTTGTGTAGTGGTTTGCTTTGGAGTGAGTGATAGATGGATGCATAGATGAGAGAGTTGTATTTATAGTGTAAGAGTAATGTTGGGTGGTGAAAAATTAAAGTTCATATATAATCGAAGTGTAATTCTGAAGTTTATGAGTTCTGAACTTATATACGAATAGTGTAAACATTTTTTTTTTCTATAAACAAATTCTATATTGAATCAATGTTGGGTGGAATAACCATTCATAAGAAGTTTGACATAGTGAAAAAGAAAGTGGATAATTGCATTATAAGAACAAGTTTAGGTATACTAATAATAATATAAATAAATAACAAACAACAATATATTTAATATAAATATTTCATATAATATCTACAAGGTTTAATATAGTAGGGTGGTATTATATGTATAATATAATTAGAATTGGTGAGAACAAGGTATTATTATGCATTAGTACAAGAGGTGGTTAGGATTTAAGGAGTTTTTCTTGAACAAGTAAATAGAATCATATCTTTGATTTTTCTTTATCTCTCCTCGGCTTGAGCCAAGTGAATGATACGTGACGTTGTATATCCAACAAGTCAATGATGTTGATAAAAGGGAAAATAGTTAAAATATCTCATGAATTAATTGATATAGGTCAAATTTATCATTCATTATACTTTTTATATTTAAAAGTATCATCTTCGTTATATTTTTAGTTTAAAAATATCTTTCTTACTAAGAGTTTGCTCCAAAATAAGGAAAACATATGATTACATATCTGTTGAACGTTTCAAAATGGATTAATTTTATTTATCCTCCATTTAAATTTCGAAATAGGTGTTCCTAATTTTAAAAACACAAAATATTCTTTCAATAAGAGGGGTGGATAAAGGAACTTTTTGAGATTACATGTCTATGTTGTTAATTATCTTAACACAAATATCATAAAATTGGTAAGTTAAATAAGGAATATATTACATTATTAATGTATTTTGACTTATTGTAAGAAATATTTACATTTTTTTACCATTAGCAACAAAATATTTGTATAGAGCATTACATGCACTTGTCATTTCTATCTATCTATCTATCTATCTATCTATCTATAGCGTCAGTACATAAAAGTTTCAGCAAAAATAATACGTAGCAACATAACGATATAGTAATATTAATCACAAATATAGCTACATACAACAAATTTAATACTCCTTCCATTCACTTTTACTTGTTACTTATTTCTAGAATATGTTTTCATTTTTACTTGTCACTTTTGACATATCAAGAAAATACAATTATCATTTTCCATGTTTTACCCTTATCATTAAATACTATTAATGAGTACTACATATCAATTTAGGGAATCAGTGTGATAAAATAGTTATACCAGTAATTATTTTCTTAATAAGTGTGTCAAATCAAATAATGACAAATAAAATGAACGGACAAAGTATTATTTGACAAATAATCACCAACCCATTAATATCAAAGATCTATGCAATTAAAAATCCTTTTTTGGTTGTTTTTTTTCCCTATAAATGTTCTTCTCTTCTTGGTTTCTTCATGGGACCAACATTTCCATCTAAACGATTGAGAAATATACCAACTAATGAAAAAGAAATATATTTCCAAAATAGGAAAATGAAATGACATATAGCTTTATTGGAGTCCCATGTTTTGAAAAGTCAAAATTATGAAACTGTTTTTGTAAATGTATAATAATAATTTAAAGAAATCACATACTAATTATATTATCTATATAGATTTAGATTCCAAACAAATTAAAGATAAGTTTTTACCCAATTAATTTCTTTAATGGAATCCAACCAATGGTTTCAATGTCTTTATATTTGTTAATTAAAGCATTTAGTCAACAAATTTAATAATGAAATTCACAAGTATTTTCTTCTTATAGTGACATTTAAAAAAATAAATATATATATATATATATATATTCATCGCTCTTCAAGCATCATATAACAATTTTATTTATCTGAAATTATTATAAAGATTGTCACTCCCCGAGCCTACACCCTGGACGTGGCTGGCAATCGAGAACTATTGCTGGCCCCAAGCGAACCCTTCGCCTGGCTTACTTACCAGCGGAAGACTTAGACATAAGAAAGAGAATCCAAATACAAGATGACTCAACATGTCTCAAACTGAACTCATAATGTTTTAAAAATAAACATTTAACTTAGCCAAAATGGCAACTCAAATATGAACATAAGTAAATAACAAAATGATGACGAATGAACTAACATCTGACTGACTATCTATGAATCCTCTAAAACAATTGAGATGGATGTCGGGACAGGTCCACAACATCGTAATGAACTATCTAATACTGAAAGTAAACAAAAGGAATTCTCCGGAATGCAAAGAGGCTCACCAACAGACTCTGAACTGCTCACTGGATCAACGATGCGTTGGATGCCGATCCTAGTTAACTGCGTCTGCATCATAATATGATGCAGGCCAACTGGCATCAGTACATTGAATGAACGAGTATGCGAGTTGGAATGCTAAACACAACAAAGGCTTGAAAAGAATCTAAAAGGAACTGAAGAGCTTACCTGGCTCAACTCAACTCAACATAATTGAACTTATTTCAATATAAAGTAGTTTAAAACAAGTGCAATATAAAGAAAAGCTGTTTAAAACATGATGTCAACTCTGTGTGTATGCAAAGATACAAATAACTCTGAGATGTATGTAAAATTACAAATAAACTGATATATATAAAAATACAAAGTACTACTGTGGGAGTTTCTCTAACCGACAATCATCACATAAGAGCTATTGTGATGATACAACGATCTCCCTAACGCTTGTAGACACGTAATTTTGACCGAATTTAAGGTATTACACCATTTTTAGTACATAAATATTGCTTTTATATATAAATTAAATATTTTATTTTTCATCGTATTTTAGTAAGTTTATTTTAAAAGATCGAAAAACTACAAAAAATATATGTTTTCTTTTAATTTTAATAAATAAGCTAGTATTTCTTAATTATATTTTTAGACTAGCTATTTGACTTTTCTCATATTTTATTAATTCAAAATAATTAATTAATATTTTTATTATTATGGTTTTTATATATATATATTTAATTTAATAAATATAATAACCTAAACTACCCACACTACCTCACTACCCCACATACTCCTCCACTACCCCACTCTTCCCCCCCACATCTACACACACGTACATATACTACACCACTATATACCTACACACTACTACTACTCCTATAGATATATACAGAGGACCAACAAAAAAAGAAAGGAGGAAATCAGCAACCAAAACACCCAACATACAGATACAGACGTGAAAAAGGAAAAAAATCAGAAAAAAAAAGACGGACACAGCAACACAAACGGACAGAAAAAGAGAAACAAGAAAAAACACAATCGGCACATATAGAAAAACCAAAAAATACACATCCTTATTTTATTCTTCTTTTAAAAAATTCACCAACACATTCACATCTTTTCTTCCTTACCCATTTTTTTTTCATATCAACACAAACACATATACCATCACAAACAACCTACAAAAGTTGTGGGTGTTCTAATCGAGCTTCGGTTAAGATTTTGCGGTATTCAACTTTACTTTATCTTCTTATTTAATTTATTCATGGAATTTGATGTAATTATTATGATAAGTTTTCTTACACTTTTATTTTATTCATAATTTGATAAAAATGAAGAATGTGTTAAGTGTTATATCTCTTTAATGAATGAAAGTAACTTTATTGATGGTTATTTTTATTTATCTATTTTTGTTCATTAGTTGTGATGTCTTAAAATGAATGGGTCATGATGTTGTTCTTTTCGTGATTTCGATGTTAATAATGATAAAGTAGGAATTATTGGGTTCACAAAATTATTGTTGTTTTATTTATTAAATAAAGAATGAGATTTATTTTAGCAATTCGTCATTGTTTTGTTGGATTAATAAAAAGTACAATATGAGTATACCTAATTTCGTCATTAACTTCAAGATAAAAATAAATAAAAATATAATATGTGTAGGCCTAATTTTAACATTAACTTTAAGGGTGAATAGAAATAAAAGAATATAAAATAATCCAAAATTTATATTGTATCCTAGAAGTTTAGATTTGTTGTATTTTATTTGATTTTATTTAATATTTTCTTATAACATTAGATGGGTTTTAGGCATGTAAAAAATATATATTTGTTTCAATTAAGAATGTGGTTACACATCTTTTTTGAAACACTTAAAAGAAATTCAAGGATGTGGTGACACACCTTGATAAAATTATTCTAATATATATGTTAACATGTGGATTAATTTAATTAAAAGTATCATCAATAAATATAATAATAAAATAAAAGATTAGTTGTCTAGAATTCACAAAAAATAAGACTAAGTATTTTCTTTTTAACATTAGACAAACTTTTAGGTACGTTAAAATTATTTGTTTCGATTAAGAATGCGGTTGCGCATCTTTTTTGAGATATAAAAATAATGATCAAGGATGCAGTGATGTACCTTGTCCAATAATATAATTAAATTTTATTAATCTAAAGTAGAGACTTATAGAAAAAATAGATTATTAGGTGTGATAGAAAGAAGACAGTTATGTCTCTAAATGTCAAGACCAAGAATGCGGTTACGCATCTGGATTGAGACCAAATAAAAATTCAACAATAAAAATGCGAGCAAATATCATAGCCTATACAAATTATCCAAAAATATATCAAGATAAGTATAAGTCAATAAAAGCGACCGTGCTAGAACCACGGGATTCGAGGGATGCCTAATACCTTCCCCTCGGTCAACAGAATTTCTTACCCGAATTTCTAGTTCACAAACCAAATAAAGAGTCATTTCCTTTTGATTAGGGATTAAACAAAAAGGTGACTTGGAACACCATAACTCAATTTCAAGTGGCGACTCTAAAAAAAATAAAATAATCCCTTAATCAATACCGTCACTTAAATTGGA